AAAATAACGGTAAAAATAAAAATTTAGAGTAAAATGAACGCCGATTGGTAATAATATCAACTAAATTCGAATGAATCAATCCCCGGCAACGGTGCCAAAAACTTGCCACGCGATTTATATAACGTGATTTTATACCGCAAGCGCACGGTGTCAAGTTTTGTAGTATATTAAAGAATTGAAAAGTGTCGAACCCACAGGGATTGATATTCAACTTCTATTGAGTACTATAATTGTATCCGCGTTTACTTTATCTAGACAATCGAGTATTAAATTAATGTTTGAATACTAAACTAACGTCAATGAATTAAATAGTGCAATAAAAGTGAGGCAATTTGCAAAGACTAAATCAAACTTACGTAATGTCTAGGGAATGATTTCACCATATTCTCGACATAATTTTCAATCCCTATAGATATTTCCATCAACTATTTCTCGAATTCATAGGCAAGAATCCTAAATTAATTCTATTTCCCCCTCTCGAGCGTCAAATAGAACCTATCTCTATATTTTAACCCCAATATCTCTATTCCGAATTAAATATATAAAGATTATCACGCACTTGGTTCTTGTTTTACCCTCAAAGATTCGTACTTTCTCTCGAAACCTACAAACCTGGGTTATATTGTTCTTAGATCACGCCTAAATTTTTCTCTCTCGAGCGTCAAATTTAGAACATCAATTCATTCAATTGGTGATCAGGCAACTGAAAGCATTAAGTAAGAATAATACAAATCAATTCTGGAAAATTAAATGGAAATACTATAAAGAAATTGAATCATGTCTCAAATAGGTTACATCAAACCTTAGATTTAATAACTTAATTCATGATTGAGAAGAAGAACATAATAAAATACAAATTAAATCGCATGGAGAAGAGAAAGATAAGAAAAAACTGAGGTTGCTGCTCTAGTTCTCAATCTTGTTGCTTGATTTCTCAGTTTTTCCCTTCTTCTTCTCCAAAATCGGGTCGATCTTCTCTCAATTGGTGCCTCTCTTTTTCTTGCCTCTTCAGCCGTCTAACCCCCTTTCTCTTGTTCTTCATCTAGGTATTTATATTTTCTAAGGGTCCTCAAGGGTTAGGGTATGATTTTTGGGCCGAAAAGATACTTAAAAACTCGAGTTTTAACGTTTGGGAACAGGCGCCGTGGCGCCAGAGTTTCTGCTTCAGTTTCATCTCATGGCGCCCCTTTTTCGGCGCCGTGGCGCCAATGCCACTGCTTTGCTTCTCTTCTCTTTGTTTTTCCAAGCCTATTTTTCACTCCAATCTTATTCAATACTTGCTTATTCATGCTCCATTTCATTGATCATCATTTTTGCTCATCACCGGCTCTCAATAGTGGTATTTTCTCGAAAGTTGTCCAAACTGCAAAACAACACTAACACACACATCAAAACGTTCAAAAATGCTCAAGAACACATCAAAAAACTTGATTTAGAAGCTTTAGTTTAATGAGTGAATTACACTCATCAACATGCTGCGTCATTGGTTCGTATTAGATCAACTGCATATTATCAATATTCACCTTTACAACTGACATTTGATTATGAATACGATATTTCTCACCTACGAGTCTTTGGTTGTGCTGTCCAAGTCTCGATTTCACCCCCCCCCCCACAACGTATTAAAATGGGTCACAAATGAAGACTTGAGATTTATGTGAGTTTTGATTCACCATCAATTATGAGGTATCTTGAGCCTTTAAATAGTGACTTATTTACTGCACGTTTTGAAGATTGTTATTTTAATGAAATGACTTTTCCAATTTTGGGACAGAAACAATTACATCTTGAAAAACAAGGTAAAATTACTTGGAATGAAGCAACTCTATCTCATTTTGATTATTACAGCAATCAATGTGAGCAAGAGATTGAAAAAATCATTCATTTGCAAAAATTTTAAATCAATTACCTGATATATTTGTTGACACAAGAAAAGTGACAAAGTCATATGTTCTAATAGAAAATATTTCAGCAAAAATTGATGTCCATGTAGGACAATCTGCTGTAACAAATGAATCTCAAATATGCCAGAACCGTGGTCGAGCAATTGGTTCAAAAGACTATGTACCTCGAAAAAAAGGTACATGAGAAAAACCAACAAAAAATTTCGGAAGAAATCACATTAGAAAATATTGATCAATCAGATATTAAAAATACGGTTCCTGAAGAACCACAAGTGTCTGAAAATAATGAGATTTCAATAAATTAGATATTATTTCATAAATTATGGGAACGAAATAATGTTATTATAGATAATATTTTCACCTTTAATGTGACTCTTGATATTATGCAAAATTATTTGTTCACCAATCTACGTATACAGAAAAAGTTTTAAAACGTTTTTATATGGATAATGCATATCCATTGGCATCACCTATGGTTGTTCGATCACTTGATGTGAAAAAAAGATCCATTTCGTTCACTTGAAGATGGAGAAAAGGTTTTTGGTCCTGAAGTACCATATCTTAGTACAATTGAAGCATTAATTTATCTTGTAAATTGCAATCGACTCGACATAATTTTTTCTGTAAATCTCCTTGCAAGATATAGCTCTACACCAACTCAAAGACATTGAATATATTTTTTGTTACTTAAATGGTACGATTGATTTGAGATTATTTTATTTTCAAAAGTCGAGATCTGCTTTAGTGGGGTATGCAGATGCATGTTATCTATCTGACCAACATAAAGCTAAATCACAAATAAGTTATGTGTTTACACGTGGACGAACGACTATATCATGAGGATCTTTGAAGCAATTCTTAACAATAATATCTTCAAATCATTATGAAATTATTGCAATCCATGAAGCAGGCCGAGAATATGTATAGTTGAGAAACATGATCCATCATATCCAAACATCATGCGGGTTAATTTCAACAAAGGATAGTTCAACAATTTTGTATGAAAATAATGCAGCTTGTATTGCACAACTCAGAAGATGCTATATCAAAGGTGATAGAACGAAACATATTTCTCAAAAATTCTTCATACATATGAGTTTCAAAAGAATGAAGACATCGATATTCAACAAATTCGCTCAAGTGACAATGTAGCCGATTTATTTACAAAAGCATTCCCAACATCTCCATTCCAGAAATTAGTTCATGAGATTGGAATGCGTCGACTTAAAGATTTTTAATGAGGTAACATTTATTTTTAGTACTCCAAAATAACTGTACTTTTTTTCCTTCGTTTTGATTTTTTTCATTGAATTTTTATTGAAAAAAGTTTTAATGAGGCAGATATTTTGTAATATGCCATTCAAGGGGGAGTATTGTAAAAGGAAAATTTATTAGGGTTTAGAGGTGAATAACAATTACACCCTTACAGCCCTAGAAATAGTTACTATAATATCCCTGATTTTGTCCTATAAATATTGGACTTTGGTTCTTAATAAAACACACACAAGTCTATTGAATTCTCTCTATTCTCTTATCTTTTCTTCACTTTTTTAACATAAGCTAATTTAATTCGTCTTAAGTGAAAAAAAAAATTAATTTAAAAACTCTTCGTTTTAACATTTTAAGCTTAATATAAATTAAACTTAGTTTAGATGAAATTAATTCTCATCTAGATCTACATGAACGAACAATGTATGGCATTTTAATTAAAAGGTGATACAATATGTCATTTTAGAACAAGAATTTGATAAAAACATGTTAAGGGATAAAATTATAGCTTGAGTTTCATTTCACTTGGTGCTTGATTATTAACACAACAAGATACATTCTGATTATAGATAAACATGACGCTATAAAATTTGAGAATTCTAATAATTATGAAGAGTGCAACATATCATTTTAAGTATAAAATAAAATAGTTTGTGGCCTTTTAAATTAAAAAGTGATACAACATCACTTTTTGTTCACGTTATCGACTTACAAAGAATTTGACAAAAGAAAGTAGCCAAATTTAACAAAAGCACAAAAACACATGGTGTGTGACAAATTCTAATAAAAAAAATTAGACTAATTATCAAGAGAAAACTATATACTAAGTTAAAAATAAACCTCTAATTACGAAGAATATCTAGCTTGTGAACATCTTAAATTGGCGGATTGATTTGATACCGAGGCTCATCAAAATTATGATATACGACGGAAATCCATATTACACACAACATACAAAGAACGAGTATTCCCTCAAAAATCCAAACAAATCAGAATGGTATTCTTCACCCATGGTCCAGTCCGTAAAGGTGTCGACGCTTTCTTCACCCACGGTTCGAGTCTCTAATGGTGCCGACCCTTTCTTCACCCATGGACTCCAATTATCTAATGGTGCTGGCACCATTAATCGATGGTGAATTTTTATGGAATCACCTTCTTCCTCAGCAGTGGAGGTCAAACGGTTTTGCTGTTTATGCAAAATGACTTATTTTTCATCAAGTTCAGGCCTTTTTAACGTATTAATTACTGTTAATTCGAAGGATTATTGAATAAATATTAATTAAGTGTATTATTCAATTTTATTGCTTTTGGATTATACCTGATTTCCCCCATAAGTAAACCTGTCTCAAGTTCCCATCAATTTCAAAGTAAACTAGCCCGATTTGAATATAGAATCATGCTTCAGTGATGTAATGGTTAACATAATTCTTGACATAAATGTTACATAATATTCTATCATTGAACAACTTAAAACACAATCAACTTTTTTATCCACTTATCTACTATCACATACACATCTATCAACCTCTCTATTATTTTTCTTCTATCAAAATAGATTAACCCTTGAACGATTAGTAGTGATCCATTTGCAAGCTCAACTTAAAACATTACCTGGTGCGGGTATTTAAACGAGTCATTGAATGTTTATCTAACATATTGATACTATCCAAATAATCATTATACAATTCTATTTGAATAATGTAATTTCTTATCATGGTCGTGAACATCCGAATTAATTGTTCAATGGAATTGAAATACATTTAAAACATTATATGTTGAATCAAAGGGTTCACTACTACCTAAATTGGTGATAGTTACTATCAGTGATGAATAACATTACTCTCTAATACAGCAAATTCGAGATTCTACATATTCTTCCCTTTTGTACGACAAACACAAACTAAAAAGAGAGAAGGGAAGAGTAACTTTGGTTCACCTCTAAACCAAGTCATATATATTGACTGTAAAAACGTCTGACCCAATCTTGCCCCACACATTCCCATCCCACTTTGCTCTGCCAGGGAATTGGGGTGGGAGCACGGAACATAATGCTTTCCTATGAAAACTTGATTTCACCTTCCATACAAAACAAAACATAATTAACTCAGTAGAGTTCTAAGACGAGGCATGTGCACCATGAAACAATTGCCACGGAGAGTGCAAGCACTCTATCATGCATGGATTGAGGATCATAATTATCATAGCTCTCATCTTCATTCTGCCACAAGTCTACACCACCCATGTAGCTTCCAATATTAGCTATAAGGACACCTTCTGCGTCCTAAATAAATTAAAAGATATATATATTTTTAGTTAAATTGGTTGACTTTTAATTGTTAAAACTGTGGTGGGTGGACAAGAAAAAAATTTATCTAACAAATTGATAAGTACGAATTTTGAACTCGAGAAGAATGAAAGAGAACTCATCAACAATTAAGGGAAAAAAATGAAACTGAATGACACATGCGATTTGTAAGAGCAATTGTTCCAAGTGACAAATAAGTCAGACAAGCTGATCCTACTACAATTTATAGCTATATTTGGCTCACAAAAATCGATTACTCCCACCTCAGGAACCTTGATATTGACGCCATCAACCTCCACGCGAACTTGACTAGGGAAGTCTGCAAAAGTTCTATCAATGATACTCTTGGCACCTTCTCTTGCATAAAGAACTTTATTCATGAACTGCAGTAATGTTGGAAACAGAAATAAAGAACGACTATTAGGCATAATTTAGGTGGATGCTAATAAAAAGTAGCATTTTGCAGTAAAGATGTAAGTCCATGATCCTTGTTTACAATTTGAACAAGACTGATATCAAACATAACATCCAGAATAATCTTGTGAATTGTTCTAAGATCGTACAAGATAAGTGGAGCGACTGCAAAAGGTTCCAGTTCCACTAAAAATTTCAGAACTCTAGCTTAAAATTTTATTAAATGAAAGAAGGGGCAAAATATGGTTATTTATAACATCTTAATAGCTGCACACAAACTATAAGAGCGGCATAAACATGAAATCTGCTTCACAACATTTTCTCTGCATCTACGTCAAACTATTGAAGTAACATAAATGACTTTCCAGAAAGTCACAAGGTCATTTGCTAATTATAAAGAAAGATAATATTGGCAAACATATGTCCATCCAAAATAGCCACCTTGGCACTATAAATCATGACTGAAGGAAGAAGAAAAATGAAAAACTTCCACCATACCTGATTGTAAAACTTATCTGGGTTCTCCTCCCTCAGATTATGGATTTCTAGAGCAACCTTTGCATCACATCCAACTCCTATAATAGCAAGAGACATTCACAAATACAAACACTGCATGAAGCAAATATACACAAGGTTCCATACTCAAATAAGAATAAAATATTATATAGGTTCTTTCCCATAGGATCTGCGTTTAAACCAACCCTAGCCATACAAATCGAAACATATCCTGAAGAAACATAAATACGTGTTTTGCTGTTTTCCAGTACATGTATCTACTGCTCAATAAGCGAGGCCAAATAGCCCAACAGAGCAAGGCTTCATGGGTAGCTTCAGACTGCAAATATTAGCTCTTATTACAGGAAGTCCAGATATGACCGTAGATCTCCTGTTTTTCAATTTCCTAGTAAGGGTTCATACTCTCTTCCCTGAACTTGCTCTTCTCAGGCTAAATAACAGCAGAAAGTAAGCAGTAACTCACAATTGCACAGATTATGTAATTTCCCCCCAGAAAATGAATGTGGTCATACTTGTCACTTATTCGCTCTTGTCAAGATAAGAACAATAGACAAGACTGTAGATAGCCTTCCTCCTCGAACAGAGCAAGTTCTAAGGCACAAAATCACTTCTTCACTTCTTTGAGATCAAATGAATAATCCTGGTATGTAAGCATTTACCTTTTGCTTGGTACTTGTCAGTTTCTGGTCTTTATATTCATGTACAATATGTGAGTTAAATACTGTTTCAAGGAAGAGATCAAATAATTGTCAGAAGACAATTTGTTTGTTGGGTTTCATAGTAAAAACTGTGCATCGACAAGAGTTTCAAATTCTGATCCAAAAGGCCAGAGAATGGGGACAATAGATAAAAAATAATCTGCTTTTATGATATTCCTCTTGGGGGATAAACTTGACAGTAACAAGAAGGCCAGAAAGAAGTACCAGAACGTAAGCAGATTTGGTGAGTATCTGCCTGCGTGTAAGAGAGTACAAGTGTGTTAAATTCAAGATGTCAAATTATTTAGTCTATCCTAATCATCTATATCTGATTTTGCACTTGGGGAAATTCTAGGAATCCACTCTACTTCAACTACTCTAACTGAATCGTCGTCGCTCAAATAATAGAGTAGAATTTAGTCAGATCGCCCACCTTTCACTCTCTGTCATACACCTAGGTGTTAAGTTGAAAAGGCTTCCAAACACAAAATTTTCACTTTAACTCGAATAATTGTAGAAATCAAGTTAGGACTTCAAATTTGGAAATAAATAAATTAGCCCCAACCCCAACCGCCACATGCCCACCGTCATGTGAATGCGTTGAGTTCAAGATGTAAAATTATTAGTCCATCCTAATCATTTATATCTGATTTTGCACTTGGGGAAGTCCAGGAATCCACACTACTTCAACTTCTCTTTCCTGAATCATCATTACCAAATAATATAGTAGGATTTTACCAGATAATGTCAAATACCTAGGTATAAAGTTGAAAGGGCTTACAAACGTAAAGTTTTCACCTTTAACTCAAGTAATTGTAGGAATCGAGTTAGGACTTCAATATGGAAATAATGAAATCATCCCCACCCCCCAACATCCATATGCCAGCTGGCATGCTCAATAAAAAAGGAAATAAGGCATGTGTAAAAGCTCTTACCTTTCACTCTAGTATCGTTCCCTAACTAAATGTGATGAAATCATGATATAATTAGAGACAAGTTTAGAAATTATTTATTTCCATAGTTAAGAGTAGTAATGGATTGATTGATTATTGTAATCTTTAGATATGGTAGGAAATTTTTTTCTTTCCTTTTATTTTTCCCTTTTTTGTACTATAAATGGAACGGTGTATAGCACATAATGAATAAGAAAAATAATTGTTTTCTCTCTTCAAAATGTTTTTTATCCTCCACAAAAAAAGTATGTATTAAAGGCTCAAAAGAGTGCTCTTTTGTTCTCATGGATATGGCAGCTTAAGTGAAGGGAACCTGAATTCTATTCGGCTTGGCTATCAATCCTAATCTGAACTTTGAGTAACCAAAGTGTCATAGTAGCTCTATCCAGAGCTTCCGACACTAGACCTCCAATTATACTTTGGTGGCACCCAGACTTCCTCCCTATTGACTAGTTAAATCAAAGATTTAGTATTGGACTAAATCATTTGTCCCTCTTCCATAAGATGTCATTGCACCAAAAATATGTAAGACGGAGGAAGAATATGATCTAGATTACAATTTGGGAATATATAAACTAAACATTTTTCAGCTCCTAAAATGTTAAACTTCAACCCTGACACTGTCAATTTGAGCAAATTATAACCCCACTAAAATTAGTATCCAACATCTTGAAGGCACGACAAAAGTACTTTATAATGCTTTAAGTTAGTTGAAATCTATCAACATACCAAGATAGTTGTTCATGAACTTTGGCGCTTGGAGTGGTTTTCCCTGCTGGTTTGAAATTGATATCTTCCATCGGTCAAGGATGGTAACTGCAGCATGTTCTATGTGATTCAAAAGCATGCAAAGGCCTCCCTGTCTGTCAACTGAGCCCAAACCAGCCCCCCAGGAAAGTACTCGAGCCAAATCATTTCCAGTTCCTGCAGGAAGAATGGCTACAGGGGGAGGAGAAACAAAATTCTGCTTGTCTATAGCATTTAATACCCAGCCAACAGTGCCATCTCCACCACAGACAAGGATTCTGAAGTGAGGAACATTTCTAAATAAGTATAGACCGACTTCTGGACCCTGTGACGAGCTTAACTCAAAGACCTACAATGAAAAGTTAACTAAAAAAGTCAGTATGAGGCGGACAACTACCCCTACAAAAATAAAAGTTCTAGTTTAGTTCTGTCAACAAAGTAAAAGGTAGGTCATTCCTGTGATATCCTTTAAGACGCCGAGTCCAACAACTCAATCTCCTAATCACCAACAATTGAAGACTACTATGCAAGTTTGATCTGAAGTACAATCTCATACACATGCAGAAGCAACCAAGATGGGAAATCTATCTACCTCTTATTCACCTTTCTTGTGATAAACAAAGGCAGCTAAATCGGAAGCATCTAGAGCCGTGTTTTTACCTTCACTTGGAGCTTTATTTCTTAAAAAAAATTATTGATGGAGAAAGTTCAAAAGTGCTACCTTCATATACTCACTTTATCTCACCAGACTAGCACCTGTTTATGTTTTATTGAGTTTCTCAAGCTTAATAGTCACAATAGAATAAGTTCATAAAAGTTATCATCAACTTGGCACACAGAACACACACTTGACACACTCATAGATATGGGAGAGACAGTATCAAGTAATGTATGCTTGTCTACTTCGTAAATTAGCTGAAGAACTTGTATTATTAAATCTTTGACCTGGACAGGATTAAGAAGAATGTTCAGTCGGCGCCTGAGTGAGTCCCCTCGTTGAGCTCCACTTTTTTTGTTGATGAAAACTAGCAGAGGTCTTGCATCTGGAGGCAAATCAATCAATTCATACTTCTGTCTCATACCAAGTAACTGAAATTCATCCTTCTGGTCAAGTGATGAACTTCTTTTGAAACTAGGTTTCTTCTCGATCTGTTTTACTTCACCGTTCTGATTACTTGACGAACTTCTTTTCAAACTAGCTTTATTTTCCATCTCTTTTCCTTCACCATCTAGTTTTTCATCCACTCCTTCCGAGATCACATTCTGATTGCAGTTTTCTTCCACATTATGAGACCCAATTACTGTTTGACTAGTCTCCATGGTGCTTTCTGTTGATGACACACTCAAATTACTACTATTACTGGTATCGGCAGAGGTCTCAGTTCCATGTTTGTACTTACTACGGCTTCTGATGGTAGCACGTACAGAAGATGCAATCTCATTGGCCCCATGTGTAATGGAACTTAAAAATCCACCAGAATTACTCTTCAATACTTTCACACGAAGTGGAGATAAAATAAGCCTTCTAAAAGGGCCCAAATCACAAACATCACCTGTTTCATTAAACATGCTACCATGGCAATCAACATGCAAGAGACGTTGACACCACAGGCAACACCAAATAGGGGATCCCCCAAGAAAAGAACCGCTGCATGGCTCTTCACAGTAGCTACAGAAAGAAGATTCATCAGGTTGGTCTGTCACCTCTGTCCACTGCACGGCCCATTGATGCATTACATGACCATATCCAAACATAGATACACACTTGCAATCCTTGTGAGCTTTTGAGGAGCAACTCAAGTGAGCTACTGCACCACATATGCTGCAACGGTGGATAAACATGTCTGAAGCCGCCCCAGGACCAAGAGACTGCGAAGATGACATAGACCTTAAACATACACAGCAGTTCAAACTTTTTCCTCGAATCACAGATTCCAAAACCCATGTATGACGAGCCAGAGGAACCTTATTCCGTGCTTTTGGGTTTTTTTTTGACCTTGCAATGGCTTTCATCCAACTTAAGTTTATATTTCTTCTCCATTGGAAAGCCGTAAATAATATAGTCAAAATTCCTATCAAACCAGCAATGATGCAAGAGATAATAAAAAGATAGGATTCAGCCATTTCAGATGGATTTTTAATAATCCAGCTGGGAAGTAGAGCTTCAGATTCTCTGTAGTCATCCATTGTTCAAATTCTATTATCACATTCTGCTCATACATTTATTTAAGTAAACCATCTATTTACATAACATTTCCCAGTAACAGTTTAGTAACTCCGGCCACTAAGAAAAAACTGAGGCAGAATATTCTCATTCCATCAAACTCTTTCCAAAAGCCCCAAACTTAATCTTCTTATGAACTGTATCTATAATTATATATGTCCACCATCGTCTTATCTTCGAAGCACTCTTTCAGACAGTAAAGCTTCTTACAGATCAGTGACCAAGTGAACAGAATACAAATACTTCGGATGGATAAAATTCTGAGACGGGAGAATGCACGTGAGAAATCAATGAGATGAACAACTAAGCTTACACCCCATGGATGACCAAGAACAAATCAAACAATCCATTTGACAATGTCAGATTAAAATTTGGATTCTTCCAACACCTTTAACACAACTAAGGCTACCATGCACCCATACAAAAATGTCTACACCACACCACACTTAGGCATGTTTCTTGAGGATGACTGAAACAGAAGTAACAAAAACTCAGATAATAAGCTACTTTTGAAGTGAGAAAGCATAATGGGATGAGCCATTTTCAGTTTAGTCATGGTAAGAACTCTTAATATGTTACTTAAAACACCTCATGAATAGAAACAAGAGAAGAGCCTTAGTGTTACAAGTTATAAAGATGTAAGAGTTGCTCATTAGAGTATAGCTGATGCATAATCCATAATACCGATATTACATCAACATGTGGTGCTACTAACATTCATAAAAACATAAATATATTTAGTTGCAACGACGCCTTCCACGTGTCTTTCATAATAAAGGTTATTATGTAGAATTATTAGTTTATATCATACCAATGATTCATAACCATGTGGATACTTCATAGCTAACACGTGAGAAGTGATAAGTATAGTTTCTAAACTTATTTGGGATCTTAAATAATGATATTTTGTTATTCTTTGAACGGATTAGTATCTGATTTGTTATTTATTGTTTTTATTAGGAAAAATTCATGTTTTAAAGAAGAATTAAAAAAAAAGAACGAAAAATGGCTAAATGAAGCAAATCCAAAGGATGGGGACCAAAGTGTAAATATTTAATGGTTGATTTGGACCACAAAAGATACTTTGAAGATTGATAGGAGTCAATTGAATGCAAATTGGAGTAAAAAAGGAAAGGGATATGATTAGAATATTACCATAAATCAACTTCCAATCATATAGGATATCTTCAAGATTTTTGGTCAAATTGAGACCCATTTTTCGGATGGAAGATGTTTGAATTGGAAAAATTGTATTTCTAGAAGAATTGTAGATCTTTTAATTAGTTTTTCAGTACACTTTGAATCACCTGAATCTGACACCAAAAGAGAAAGTTATGATCAAAATAGTGAAAGCTGTGCAGAGACAAAATTATGTGCGCGCGAAGGCAATTTTCCTTATTTGATTCAAACTCTTTTGGAAGACAATTGGAACGTGAATTTTGACTTCATTTCATCATATAAGTACAAGATATGGGCAGCAATGAAAGGGTCTCTCTCTTGCCTCTTCATACACAATAATTTCATCAAATCCATCAAGAACAAGGGGCCAATTGCTATATTTTGACAGAGAAGATTAAGCCATAGTAAGGAATTGAAGTTTAATTACATCAAGTTTTGAAGAATTCAACTTTGGACATGAAGATCAACATCTTTTGTATTCTTTCATGATCCGGGTGATATTTTTCTATTATTCTTCTTGTAATTTATATATTAATATGCTAGACTAGTTTTTTATTGTATTGGATGAATGATGAACCCTATCGTTTGTTTATTTCAATTCAAGACAACTAATTTAGTATTTCATAATTTTTTCTTGATTGGTTTTGCATTCCCATTGAACTATTTAATTGCTTGATCACCAATTAGATAGTAAGTTGCTTGTTGTAGCGTAGAAATACTCACAATAAGTCTAGAACGCGGTAAAATCAACACATAGACAATAGGTGTTAGGAATAATATCTATGGCATGTACAATCATGTGTGATAAATCCTGTGAATCAATGCATGTTTTTCATATAAATTCGGACTAGAAATATGATCGGATAGTGTTAAGCATAGGTTTAATATATCTTGGGAAAGAATATTGAATAAAAGTGGATTATCGATTGTCTTGAATGCATGAATTTACTAGATTATAAATTAAGAGTTGAATTAAATGGCAATAGGGGGATTCACGATTCCAAGACAAATATTCACATATTAAATAAATATTTTATTTGTTTTTTTAGTTTAAGATTAGCCTAGAAAATATACAAATCACAATTTTTTTGATTTTATATTACTTCGAATTTAGTAAAAGTTACTTAACTAAATATTAGACCTTATTCCTCGTGGGAACGATACTCTTAACTAACAAATTTTATTACTTGTACAACGATCCCGTTCGTTTGCGGTTTCACACGAACAAGAATATAGGCTATAAATAACACACTTGTGCTTGAGTAGAATAAATAAAAAGGTATCCATATCAATTCTAAACTTCCCCACATCCTTGAATATATAAAGCATAGAGCTAAAATTTCCAGATTAAAATAACATATCCTTATGGGTCCCCGTGTTTGCAAGAAGTCAACCTTTAGTGTTCTATATGTTCATATCCAAAACAAATTGCTCTATTTACTGTATATAGAAGTAAAGCAACATGATTGTGATCTATCTTCAGCAACTACAACATAGTCTACCTTATGTCTCGAAATTAACATTGTTATGAGCAATATGAGTAGACTCATTTCCAAAAGCTCGATGATAAGTGCATTTTATGCGCTTATTCAAGCTTCTATTCTTATTTAACTATATATAAATTGAACAAATATCCACTTAATTGTTTAAATTATGTTAATTGTAGGAAAATCCCAACTTAGATACAATTTATGTCAAAAGAAACTATTTAAAGCTTAATTGGAGTTGATTTGAAGCAATTGAAGATTAACCGAATTGTAATAAATCGGTTGAAACATATTAATGGAGCATTTAGTAAAAAATAGTAAGTTTGGGGAGTTAAATTCGACGTTTAAAAAGTGTGAGAACTAAAATGCAAATTTCGAAACTTGTCTCGAGTCGACTATTATGATTTTGGAATGAAGATGACTTAATTGCAAAATAATAGAAGATGAAGGATTAAAGTTATATGAGAAAAGGAGTCCAATTGAAAAAGAAATTTGTTTCCTTTTATTTCTTAAACTCTTTAGTAGAAATCACTTTGAACATTTTTGTGGAAATCAAGTTGAACGAGGATTTTGCTTGAGCCCCCGTTTGGCCCCCATTACATTACATTTTATTTTCTCTTTCCTATTTTCAATCACACAATCCTCTATAAAATAATATTACACGTAAATCAAGAACTTTTCCTACTCTTTCAACTACTCATTTTTCAAAAAAATACTATTCCACCCATTTTCATTTCAAAAAATGGAGGGTCAAACGGGGGCTAAATCTTGTCTATAAATACATACCTTAGTCCAACAATAAATGAGGACTTGAGGAGTTTTATTATACACATACATTCAAGCCAAGGCTTGGAGATTCATTATACATATATTATTCAAGCCAAAAGGAGGAAAAAAATCAAGAAATCAATTAATGAGCTAGGGTTAAAAGGATTTCACAAGCAGAGGCGAATTCTCAATGCAAGATCTTCATCTTTTTCTCTTTTTCTTTAATACTTGGTGATGTACTTTAATTCCTTCTTATATTTTTATTCTCTCATGATGTGCAATTAAGTATTTAGCTAGGATTAATGATTGTAACCTAGTTTTGAACCTTATTTTTAATTAGAAAGTTTTAAATCTCAAATTCATTTTGTGAATTGTTTTTACTTCCAATCTTGGATTAATTGGCCACTGATTTCGTCAACAATAATTATGCAACAATAATTGACTAGTATAAAATGTAGAGATATTTATGCTGATTATTGTGGTCGTTACATGAATTCTTAGAATATAACTATGTTAACTAGAATTGATTCACATAGAAATATAGAATTGAATTAGTTAAATAGACTCAATAATAACTCAAGATGTATAAATTGAATACATTAGAAGAATTCGATTAGGTAAACATAATCAATTGTATAAAACTTGGTGATTGAGATTAAGAGGATAATTATGGTGATCTAATGAATCCTAACACTTAGATCATCATATTAAAAAATCACTTTTACTTGTTTTAGTACATTTAGAAATTAAGATAGAAAATCACAAAAAGAAAAAATTTACTATTTTTATTTGTTTTCGATCAATTAAAGTTAGGAATCATTGAACCAATTGCTAAATAGTTGTTGTGGGAACGATATGAATCCAAACACTTAAAACATCATATTAAAAAATCACTTTTACTGTTTTTAGTATATTTAAAAATTGAAATAGAAAATCGCAAAAAGAAAAAATAACTAGTTTTATTTATTTTCGATCAAATTCAAGTTAGAAATAATTGAACCAGTTGTGTCTCGTGGGAACAAAATCCTAACTCGGGTGTCTACTTTATTATTATTTATAACTATTCATACACTTGTGTGATAAAAATCGAGAACACTTGGACCTAGTATAAAAAATAATAATAATAATAATAAATTCAGTAAGGGTTGTTTAAATGCATTTATTTTCCATGATTCATCCAAATTCCTGCTTTGGATGTTTGATTGCTATTTTGTCATTGAAAATATGCCTAATTTTCTTTGTTTTTAAAGAAAATATTTTCTAGTTTTTCATAAAACAAGGAAAATATTCAGAAAGTGAAAAAACCGAATTTAATGTTCTATCATCGACATATTAGAAATAGATTTCTATCGCCAAACCAGAACAGAACGGCAACGGAAGAAACACAAACAATTACAGAATATATCACAATGATTGGCAGAAAGCAATAACATAATCAATTTGTTAAATAATGCGAAACAGCAAAAGCGTTGTCTATTAAACTTACAGGAAGCGGAGAGATGGCAGCAAACCCTAGAAAGAGAAAGCGAAGCCGAAATCATAAAATAAGATTAAAAGAAAATCTATCAGCAGTATGCTTTTTTTGGTTCAGACAACCTCCCGATTCCCCGAATATAAAGTCTGTTACTGTTCATTTGAAGGAGTAAACTGATTTCATGATTTATATAGATTTTGTTAAATTAATTTATTATTTGTTTATTTATTGAAGATTCAGTGAGAATTTAGTGCGGGTGCGATTGGGGGTGTCGGGAGGAATCTTAGGGATGGACACGTTTCGAACTGGAAAGGGATCGAACCGGTAAAGACGCGCAGTGCACTGTGTTGGGACCCACTTTTACTGCTTTCCCTGAGTTTTCGTTGACATGTGGCAACGCTTCTTGTGGGGAGTGTCTAAAGAGTAAAAAACTAAAAAATATCGCCTAGTTTTTTTTTTTTTTTTTTTTTAAATCAAAAAATGAATTTTTAAATAGGAAATATATAACTAAAAAATAAAATTAAAAAAATCTGAATTTGCGTTTAATATTATTTTGTTAAAATATATGTTGTTGAAATGAGATTAAAACACTATTCCACAAAAAAAGGACTCAAACAAGGACATAGTATGTAAACTTGTTATATATATATTGCACAATCTAATAATAAATGAGTTTTGCAAGCAATAGGGGCGAGGACAGGGCATTTGACAGCATTCTCCATAATAAATACACGCTTAAGCTTGATTTTCTAAAAATTAAATTTTCTTCAAATTTATTTTGAACTATATATTCTTTCAATTAATTTTACAAGTAAACTCAAAATATTTTCATGCCTGTTGACCATACATTTTACCAAAATTGATTATTAACTCATTTTTGTCAAAAATGGAGCGCAAACTGAGCACAAGGCTTGTTTTGTTTCTATTTTAGTTTTCAATTTTAAGTTCATTTCCATTTTGAACGTCTGCTTTAAAATTATTAAAAATACGTTTGATTTGTCTTTTTAAAGAACTGTTTTTCAAAATAGGAAATTAGAAAATATATTTAGTTTGAAATTTTAAAAAATTATTTTATGATATGTTACCCATGTTTGAGTCATATTCCTTAAAATCTCGTCTTCTCCAAACTTAATTTCAACAACATATTCTCTTAATAAAATATATTTTCACATAAACCCCAAAAAATATCTTACATTTTAACTACATATTCTTCGAAAAATCACCATTATAATATCTATTTTCTAAAAAAAATAATGTGCAAACCTTTTATTCCATTAAATTTAGTAAAGTAGAATAATTACACATATATGATCAAGTATATATACATTTTAAAGTTGGTAGATTTTACAACATATTTTTTTGTTACAAGAGTAAAAATAAATAATAAATTAAGTTGGTAAAAAAATTAATGACATAGATTGAAAATTTTCATTGGTGTTCGTTTATATATGCTTTTTATATTTTTATATAAATAACCATTAAGTGCTTCAACTATTTATTTATTTATTTTAATAACAAAATCTTTTGGAATTTTATTTTTTCATAATTTCTTTTGTAGAGTTTTATAGTTTTATATTTGTTAGAACTTTAGTTGTAATCTTTTTATTTTTCATTTTTCATTTTTTTTAGAATTTTATATTTTTATTTTTTAAAATTTCGAGATTTTATGTAAATAATTTTTTTAGACACTTAGGGCTTGTTTGATTTGTGAAATTTTCCATGGGAAATCCATTTTCTACCTTTTTCCTTATTTGATTGCAAAATTTTTCTTGGCAATTGATTTTCCACCTTCACGTGACCCATTTTCCTAGCTTTTGTGGAATTGTAATTCTCATGGTTTGGTGGGAAATGGGTTTTTCAGATTTTTTTTCAATTTTTATTCTGATTTTTTTTTTTACAATAGAAACAAATTCTATCCATTCTTACAACAATTATATCCATTTAATTAACAATTTTCATGAAAAATAAAATCAAGCGAATATCAAAAGATCCAAAATTTCAACATTTTTTCGGTGAAAAATTATACTAATCAAATACATTTAATTGATAATTCCTAGTAAAATAAGTTCTAAACAATTCAATTCCCTGAAATTCATTTTTTTTCCACCCAAATTCCATACTTGTAATCAAAGGGACCCTTATTTCTAATATTTTGAGTATTTTCAAAGTTTTCATTGGAAAAGCTCAAACATAAAAAAATGTTTTTATCTTATTCTTGAAAATACATTTTCAAAAAAATCAAACAAAACAAATTTTGAGTGTTTTGTAAACTACAAATGGTAAATCAAATGCATCCTAGAGTTTGTCTGAGCCCCATTTTTAGGAGAATTGTAATGGGGAGTTTGCGAGAAAATAAATTTTAAATAATTTATATAAAAAATGAGCAAAATAGAAGCAAGGTTCCCAATCTTTCGCATTCCATGCATTTGGGTTCCCAATTCACTAAATGAAGCAATCGCATATTTAATGTTGTTGTACCGTCGGTCTCCTTGTAAGGATACCAAAATAGCTTGTATCATATTGCCCCACCCTATCATTGCCTAGCTGGGATTTGAGGCGGGGACAAGGATGGGGGAACGTATTACATATCCCGAACTCTTCTAGGCTCTTATGTTTTAATTTATTTATATTTTAAATTAAAATCATATTTAAAAATGCTTAAAATTAGCTTAGTAAATTGGATAACAAAATAGAAAATGATGATATTTTAACCTAAACTATACATTGTCTCCCGAAAATCTTTGATAGGAAGAGTATAGGAAGGTTGCCCATCCACGTCCAAGCCTGTTGTCGTCCCTACTATGCTGCCATTGTCCATCAAAATTTTCATTAAATTAATACGGTGGGATTGGGTTGGGGAAGATGACTTGCTATTTTTATTGTCTAGTTTTTTTATTTGTTTTATTTTTTGGTAAAAACAAATGTAATAATTATCTTTTCAACAAAAAAGAAAAAATATCATTTTAATGGAAGTTTTGACAGAAAATTGTAGCATCGACTAGAGGTGCAACAAAATTTAAACTTTGAAGATGTAATTGCTCTTTTTCGTAGGTTGGTGGCCGAAATACACCTTTCTTACAAAATATTTTTACATATTTCATGCATAAAAAAGTAAAGAAATAAATTATTTGGTAGTAAAAGGTGGCATTTTCTACATCTACACTACCATAAAAGAGAGAATGATGGTTTACTGTTCGTTTTTGTCACACTCGTTTTCACACTTAACTAATTTGGAAACTGGTTTGGCAACAGGAAAAATGCTATTCAAAAATATTGTAGAACTTTTGTCAGACGCTATTGTCCACTGTAATATTTCTTCGTTGCTTTGAATCTGACACACCATGCTCTTTCTCTTAATTCTTACGCTATTAACTATCAATGATATCTTATATATTTAAATTTTGAAAATTATATTAATAAACAAAATTGTTGTAAATAAAATGTTAAAAAAAAATATATTCACTTAGTGTATGGAGGAAAAAAATTACGTCATATCACATAATTTTTCTTGAGTAAAATGATATATTGAGAAAATTGTTGCGAAAAAATAATAAATAGTAATAAAATAATTGCTTTTTTGAAGAAAAACGATTTATACGCATTTTTTTAATATTTCGACTTCATTTGATATCCCGTAATTTTAAAAAATTAAATACATTTAAATATTTACTTACAAATGTTAATGTTTATATTTTTTTACCTATAAATAACATTTACTATTACAATTTTTTTATTACTTTTAAATAACTTTAGCTGATTTTTTTACTTATAGTGTAATCTTTTTATTAATATTTAATTTAATAAACTAAATATATCTAAATATTTATACTTAACAAATTTTAAGTTAACATATATATATATATATATATATATATTAGTAGCTTTTGCAATTATATATAAGAGATTTAAAATTTAAAATGTAAAGAGTTACTTAGTATTATAGTAGTAGGTAAAAAAAATTGTAAAAGTTATTTCAGATCAGTAGTTACTTACGAGTAGAAAATTTGCTCCAAGTTACTTACGAGTATAATTTTTTTCGTTTTTTTTTCTAAATTGCTAGAGTAAAATGATTTCAATTCTAATTATTTGTATTTATTATATTTTTTACTTCTTTTCTGGTGAATTAGTGAAAATAGTATAGCTTCTTGTTAAAAAAAAAAAAAAAAAACTCAGAATGATATTTTTGTCACGTACGTTTTCACATTGAACTGATTTGAAATGTTTGATTCAAATGGTTTGTCTTTTTCATTTAATATAATAAATAAAAAAAGATATAAGAAATATATAAAGTAATGTACTATCTATCACTTTCTCAAGTTATATAGTCTCTTTCCTTCCTTCAATTAGATTGATTTGTCTCCAAAAAATTTAAGCTTCCGTCTACGAAAGAATTTTCCATATTTAAAACTTTCAATATTCTTCTTTCTTTCTATAAGAAAAAAATTCGTGTAGTCGTCATCTCAATATTGGAGAAGAAAATCTTGGAATTTGTACCGATTGTGTTTGGGTATGTCCTTGGAAATTTTAGTTTTTGTTTGTGTTTTTTATTTTTTTGTTTTTTATTTATTTAACATATGTTGTTTTTCATTCTGTCTATAGATGAAAATTTAGTTTCGCTCATATTTTTCTACGTAATGTGAGGTATATTATTCTTTCTGTATATACATGAAAATCTAAGTAAATTTTTCTTTATTTGTTGGATATAGTTATGAAGGTTTTATTTTTTTCTTTTTTTTCTTTCTTATGTATTTATTTCTTACTATTTATTTTTCAGGTTTAAGTAATACAACATAATTTTTTTGTTCTGTGTATACGACTTGGCTACGTCTTTCTTTCTTTACCGTTATCTACATGAGAAGTTTAAATTGTTGTTTATGTTTAATAAAGATTACAATAGTTTGGTATAGGAATGTTTGATTGTTATCATTCAGTTTATAGTTCTTTTTTTATGTGCATTTCGAAGAGGATTGTTGATTTGCGGAATGTTTCCTAATATGTATCTGAATTTAGTCAATTTAGTTTATACTGTATTTAATGTCATATTATCATTATTGGTTAGTTTTTAGTTAAATTCATAATTTCTTCTATTATTGAAATCAAATGTCAGTTCATTGTTTTCATGAATTCTTTCGAAAAATCTATGAATAAAGAGTCTGGTCATTTTGATCTTCAAATTTTGTCCCAAAGCACAAGTCAATCATATAATGCTTTCATTCGACAACAACAAAATCAAAGGCAGGCGGATAGGAAATATCGAAATGAAACTGTAAGTATTGATCGTCGTAAAATAATAAATGATCGT